TAATAAAATCTTTTGTCCCTTGAGAGTAGTGCCCAAAGTCACATAACCTTAAGGCAAACTACACCTCTGAGGCTACCGTACTTAGCTGCCTTCTTTCCAATCCTCTCCCTTCCCCACCCCCTCCATTGCCCCAGTGCCCCTCCTCTTCCCTAGCTGAACTACAGCCAAGGCAGGTAGGGGGTGACTCCTGACTGCCCAGCCTCCCTGCTAGGCATGTCTGCGGCAAAAGAGTTTCTTGGTATCCCAACAGCCAGAAGAAAAGAAAACTGGTTGAGGGAAGATCCGTGGGGTTTGGAAGCTGCCTTTTCCCTAGGTAAGGAGGGGGATTCCATGGCATTGATGTCTCCCTCTTTATGCATTTGAGAGACTTTGCAAAGGGATTGAATCTTTTTTAATGACATTATAAATTTAGCATTAAACATCAATGCAACAGCTAAATTTGCTTTGGATTTATTTACTTTTAAATACATTCCATTTCAATACACAAAAAGGTCACAGCTTTTTCAGACTTCTTCTCAATGTCTTTCTTTGTCCATTCCCATTCGCTTTTCCTCTGATATGGTGATAGTGAATATTCTGTTCTCCATTTTCTTTGTTGTTGTTGCCTTGTATTACTTAATAAAATTCTAGGCATTTTTTTTAATATTCTCCATGATTATTAATCTTAGGTGCATTACGATATGGTATTACTGGACTTACCACAATTGATGTATCTATTCTCCCATTTTGGAATGTTTTTGTTGCTTCCAGTTTTTCTAATTACAAATAATAATGCCATTAAAATCCTTGAACAGATAGTTCTTTTTTTTTCTTTTTGGGTATACTCTTAGAGTAGGGGTAATATCTTTGCTCTTATATGTTGCTTTATTTCATGTGGGCATTAATTGCCACAGTTTTCCCCTCTCGTTCCTTGTCTCATATACACACTATGTTCCCATTGATATTTTATAGTAGCTACGCTTCACATATATTATGAAACATAACCAATTTTTTTTTACAAATTCATTTAATTTCCATGTAAAGTATCATTACATTCAACAAAACATTAAAAAACTGCGGTCCCAAGAAAGAAAAGCTTGTTCAGAGCTTTCTTTCTTTTTCTTATTAACATAAGGTCAAAATTACATACACCAGACGTGTTTTGCTCTTTAAAAAGTGTCAGACTGTAACTCTCAACAGACACTTCAGAACTGGACCTGATTTTGAGTATTTTTTGCTTGTAAAGCTGAAGTGCTAATATGTCACCAAAATACCTTAGAAGTTCCGATGATAGCCAAAAAAATTGTGAATAGGGGCATATTTAAAACCCTGATCCTTTCTGAAGGCAAGCAAATATGAAGTCAACCAAACCGAAACATCTAATAACTTTTCCTGGCTGGTGAGGCTCTTATTTCTCTCTGGGAAGGAAAGATACTGAGGAGGTGGAGTGAGTAGATACCTTGGATTGTCTGACTCTTCTGTACTGCTAAACTTTATGAAGAAAATGAAGTGTGGGTGCATAAGGATAGGGAAGGGTGTAGCCCTGAAGATCATGATGGCACCAAGACAGATTTGGAGAATAGCTCTTTGGTTGCCTCTAGACTTTACGTTCATCCTTCTTAAATTTCATCTTCTTAGACTTGGCCCATTGTCCTAGCCTCTGGAGATGTTTTTGGATCCTGACTGTCGTACAATGTGTTGGCTATCTCTCTCAGTCTTGTATCATCTGCAAGTTTATAAGCATGCCTTCTCTATTTTCATCCTTGTCAGTGATAAAAACATTGAAGAACACACGGGATGCCCACCCCTCCCTCCAGGTGACATCAATCCATTAATCACTCATTCTTCAGATGTGAGAGAAAGAGTAACAGAGGGAATTGAGAGATGTCCTCAGAGCCAGGAAGACCGGGGTTCAACATACTGGTCATGTAACCAGGGCAAGACTAAACTTCTCATTGCTTAAGCAATTCACTAAGACTTTGAGTTGCAAAAAGGACTCTGGCCTGCATAGGTATATGGAGTTTCCACACCCATGAGTTTCCTATACCAATAAAATAATAGGTTCCCCCATCTTTATCCCTACCTTTGCATCTGATAATTGAATTCAACAAAGTGTGAATCCAATTAGGCCCTTCTTCCCCTCTTATTTTTGTCCTTTGCTAGGAATCTAGTCCTTTTCCTAAGGATCACCGTCTTTAAATACCCACCTTAAGGATTATGCAGCCCTCATATTTTGATTTTTATAGTGCACAAATGAAAACTAACTGGCATAAAGAAATGCCAAAATAATCTCATTTGCCATCTACCATATTTCCCTAAATATTAATGCAAAGTCAGTTCACTATACTGCCTAATAATCTTTAAAAACTATTTTCACCTCATTGTATTGCTGTGAGTCAAGGAACATAACAGTGTCCAAGGAATTTAAAATAAATATCACACAGAGGACCATGGAGAAGGCATATGTTGGGTGTGAGCAGGATCCAACATGAAAAATAAGGGACTTTGAAGAAAAACAAGAAGAAAAGATATCATCAGAGCGTGGGATGATGTGTAGACAGCCTGAGTGCTCCTCTGGAATCCCATTCCTGATGTCAAGTGAAAGTGAGGCAGGCCCCCAGCATGTTGGATGGACCCCTTGTGGCAAACTTATTTGAGGCTGCTGACAAGAGGCACATAGGATAGACGGGCCTGGTTAGATTATAACCTGCTTCACTGGAAGGAACACCCAAATTGATGAGATCACTGTTCCATTTGAAGACTTAAGTATCCATAAGACTAAAGCAAACAAAGCAAAAAACCCAAAAAATTTTGTTTATTTGAATCCTTTCTCTAGAGCACTAACACATATACAACATCAGCATTTTTTGGTCAGTATATTTTTTTTATGTAGTATTTTTTTAAAATCCTTCTAAAACTAGGGTTTCATCCCATAGGTGCTCACTGACACTTTTTCTCAGCTCTTGCAATGTAAGATAACTCCCAGGGAATCATGGGAAGGACTTACCACAGTGCCATTTTTTCTCTTCTTTTCAGACCAATAGAGAAACTGGAAAATAGAACAATTGCCTTAGGACAAGTCTTCTCTCAGGGAAGCTGCTTTTATATCCTCCATACTGTTGATATAAAAACTCTATGACCTTTGCTTTTCTATTCTTCTTTTTTTTTTTTTACTATAAATCAAATTCTTTTACATTTATAATGTCTCTTAGCAGCCCTCTACAGATTGTTTGTTCTTTTTTGGTGTGAACAAATTTGAGGGTTTTTTTTTGTTTCTTCGTTTGCTTGTTTGCTTGTTTTTTTCCCAAAAAGGAAAAGTAAATTCTCCCTGTGTTTTTTTGTTTCTATTTGTGCAAATCAGAGCCATCATCTACCAGCTCTCCGGATGATAGTCACTCATATCCCAAGGGAGCTATAGGCTTTTGTGAGCTAAAAATGATCCTTTTTAAAACATGTGATTAACACAATCTCCCAAAGCAAGTAATTAGGATATTTTATTTCTAACTCACAAGATTGACTGATATTATTCTGTAGGAAAGGTTTCCTCATTGTTGAGAACCCTGTATTTCCACAGCTGTATTTTTTTAATAGAGAATTTACATCATTGTTTATTCTTAATAAAAAAGAATACCCTGCCCCTCAGTAGAGCAAAATTCTTATGGACCTGGAATCACCTACAAGTTCTCCTCTTCCTTGTTTCCCTTTAGAATATTTTCTGATGGACTTTCCATTTTTCTTTCCAGTTTCTAGAAAACGCATCTAGGCTTCATCTTCTTTTATTTTCTCTCCCTTTTTTTTTGTCTCCCTTTTTTTGTTCTGATTTTGTCCTCTTATTTCCCCCTTTTGTAGCTGATGTTTATGTGTATTCTCAGCTTTTAATACAAAGAGTAGGAACACATCCCATGTTATCCCCCAGGGTCGATGTACTCTGGGCAGAGAGAAAATAAGTATTATGTCACTAGTGCTTAGGCTTTGATAATTTGCTGGCCCCATGAACTCTCTCCAAAGCAGCAAAAAAGCATTGAAGGGGACAAAAGCCTGCAGAATGTTTGGGTTGAGAACCAGATAAGCCACAGCATCTGGAGAGCATTTATGGATTAAACTAGACATAGGACAACAAACAAAAATTAAAGGAAACAGATCTTGCCAGTGTTTAGATATCCATCTTACTCACATCTCTGATAATTGTGGAATCACCATAATTGAACTTTACCTCAGTACTCAATGTGGTATGTAAGAAAGTGGAAGTGACAATTTGTAAGATGAGGCCAGAAAGAATAGCTGGATATGACCAAATACAGAAGAAACCCATGCTTTGGGGGAAGGAAGGAAGGAAGGAAGGAGGGAGGGAGGGAGGGAGGGAGGGAGGGAGAGAAGAAAGAAAGAGAAGGAAAGAAGGCAAGAAAGAAAGAAAGAAAAAAGGGAGGAAGGGGGGAGGAAACATATATTTATTAAATGCCTGCTGTGCACTAGGTAGCATGCTAAGCACTTTACAAACGTTATTGTTGTTTATCTTCACAACCCTGAAAGAGAAATGCTATTATTATTCCCATTTTACAGGTGAAGAAACAGAGGCAAACAGCAGTTAAGTGACTTGCCCAGGGTCATACAGCTAGTAAGTGTCTGAGGCTAGATTTGAACTCAGATCTTCCCAACTCCAGGCCCAGTAATCTATCCACTCTGCCACCTAGCTGCCTAACAATACACTTAAATTAAATAATACTATTTAAGGTGATTAGAGATTAATTTTTTAAGATATCCAAAATTTTAAAAGATCAAAGATTTCAAGAAAATGAAAAATATCCTCATGTTTTACTTTAAAAGATGACATCAGCAACCCTAGATTCTCTACAAAATATGGAATCAAGAAGATTTCCATAGCTGATTTTCAATAGTTAGCCAAACAGCTGACTGAGAAATGTAGGGAAAACAAGATCCCACTGTGCTTATTTTTTTGCTGATTTCCCCCTTCTAACCATCTGCCCACCATACTTCTACCACTGTCATTTTGTCTCTTTCAGGTCCACAATGCCGGGGCTGCTGATAGCACTGTTCAGTTCATCTTTTATCAGCCCATCATACACCGGTGGAGAGAGACTGATTTTTTCCCTTGCTCAGCAACCTGTGGAGGAGGTAATAGCATTCATTCAGCTAAGAAAGAATTGACTACTGTGGACAAATAATGATTTGCCAAAGGGAAAAACTTGGTGTTATGGTTTAATTATCTTCTTTGTATGAAGGCAAAGTACTCCTACATAAGAAGGATTATGACCTCTTTTAAGATATCCTTTCTTTCTGGAGGGGAAGTTTTATTTTGTTTATTTTAATAGAAGAAAAGCCCTTTGGTTCAGGATGAGGCTTAATTTGCTTTGGTTTGTGTTGACATTAAGTTAAATTGCTGAGGTGTGTACAATGAATTCTAGGTCTCTGATTCTGAAGTGAGTAAATTGACTATTTAGGATCACAGCATATAGATTCCAAAGGGAATCAGATGCTATCCTCCCCAAGTTCATCATGTTGCATATGAGGAAACTGAGACCTAGAGAAGGGTAACAGGTAACTAAAGAGCAAGGCTGAGATTGGACCCTGATACCCAGTCTCCAAATTGAAATAAATTCATTAATTCAAGTAATAAGCAAACTCTTTCCAGGGTACAAATTACATTTATTATTAGAAATCAGAATCCTTGAGGAACGGATTAGGCTATTTTGCAAAGGCAAGAAAGGTATATTTTTGTAAAACTCATTTCCAACTATTTGGTGCACCTTCATGTATTATAGGGGAGAACCACTGAAAACTAACATGTACTCTGGTTCCGAAGGAAATGTGGAAAAACATATTAAATTCATAACATAGAACAGCTATTCAAATATACCTTTAAGTGCTTCTACTCTCTTGTTAAAAACATTAATTCAACATTTTGAGAATTTCAATAGAGTAATTCCAGTTGATCTGTCTACTCTGAACATGAAAATGCTTTGTTTAAAGATGAATGGCCAATAATTTGATATTTCTTAGAACTTGATATTTTGTTGCATTTAACTGTATTAATGACTAACAGAGGAAATAATTTCACTGAAGAAAAATTGAAAAAAACTTTGGAGATTTTCCTTTTTAAATGAGAAACATGCTTAGTGAAAATGGGCGGTTTCTTCCCATGCCTTCTGTATCAGTGCTTAGTCGGTAGAGCACTAATCGGTCTTGCACTCTAGAGGACCTGGATTCAAATACTGTATATGACACTCACTAGATATATGATCATGGACAAGTCATTTAACCTCTCTGAGTTCCAGTTTCCTCATCTGTAAAATGGGAATAATAATGTCTGTGGTCCATAGGGATCATTTTAAGGCACATAAGTAACATATGCAAAGTGTTCTGCAAAATTGAAAGAACTTTCTAAGTGTCAGTTATTATTGTAAGATGTAAGGCTGATGGCTGGATATTACTATAGTAACCATGAAATATGGATTAGCCTTTTCTTTTGTCCAAAACCAAAGGGCAGAAACAAGAACAGTCCATGGAAGTTGCAAAGAGGTAAAACTAGGCTTTCTAACAATTAGAGCTGTCCAAAATAGGAATGGCTTGCCCTGGTGAGTGGTGGGTTCCTCTTCCCTGGAGGACTTTAGAGTGTAGAAGACTACTTGTCAGGTGTAGTACAGTGGTACTGTGGGAGGCAGAAGATGGGAGGGGCACAGGAATTCCTTTCAAGTATGGGTTGGACTAGGTGAAAACCAAGATCCCCTCCAGTTCTCAGATTGTATGACCTGCGTCTTGCTGTCAAATAAAATAGTAAGTGTTACAAGGAGATCTCAGTTTCTCCTCTATTAAAGAACCAGACTGGACAAATATTTTCTAAAATCCCTTAATATATACATATTATTGACATGCTAATTTATTTATTATTTATTATTCACATACAAATATTCTCTCAGGTCCCTTAATTATTAATATACAAACTTATTATTTCTTATCATTCATATACAAATATTCTCTAAGGCCCCTTAACAATAACATTATTTGATTCTAATCCTTATACATTTTATTTAAAATACAGTTGCCATTTCAGTCCTTTCTCGTATTTTAAAAAACATTGTCATCTGAGCATTGGAATCACTTATTCTTGTCCAACAGCTGGATCCCCATAGCACTTTGTATAGCTCTTGTGACATCTGTTCTGTCTTGTACTGAAGCTGTGTTCTTGCCTTAGTCCCCACAATTATCATCCCTGCCCACTCCTAGATAATAAGATTTCTGGTAGGTAGATGGTGAAGAGAACAGAATGCTGAGTCTGGAGTGAGGAAGACATGTGTTTAACTCATACTTACCAGCTGTGTGACCTTGGACAAGTCACTTACATTTGTTTGCCTAAGGAGTATTAGATAATATAGTTGTCTTATTAAAGTGTTATTAATATGGCAATTTCAGATTTGCAAAGTGCCCTACATATGCTATCTCATTTCATCCCTACAACAACCTAGTAGTTCCTATCATTACCCCCATTTTATAGATGAGGAAACTGAGATCAAGAACTGTCTTATTCTAGTAAAAACTGTTTTAATCAAGTAAGGAGCTGGACCCTAAGTCTCTGCCAGATGACAGTCTATTGAATGAACTAAGAATGTTTAACCTGGAGAATACTCATGGAGTGTCATGATAGCTATCATCAAGTACTTATGATCAAAGATTTAGATTTTGAAGAGGATTGTAGAGGTCATCTGCTCCAACCCTTTCTTTGTATATATCAGACAGAGAAGTCAAGTGACCTCACCACAGTCATATGGGTGATTCAGTATGGGCAGATTCAGGAATAAAATTCAGATGCTGTAATTCTAAATCCAACCAGACTTCTTATAGATGCTTTCAAATAACCCCTAAGACTTTGTAAAAGCTGTTTTAACTACAACTTCTTCCCCAGGGGAAAGTAGGTTGCAGCCATCTTTTTAAAAACCATTGTATTCTTTAAGAAAATATGGCGTCCTTGATCTTCATCTTCTAATCCTTCTCTCTTTGCCCTTGGTTCATACTTCCTTGTGTTATTTCACACTGCTCTTCCACCTTCTCCAGGACATTTCTCCAACAATCATCCCCTTTTTCTCATACATCTTCATATCTTCTCTCTACCAACTCTTTCCATATCCTGAAGTCTCTCCACTACTGAAATAGCTTTCATTTTTTTTCCCTTCTAGCTCATCTATCTACTGTCCCATGATCTTCCTCCCAATCACTGCTAAACTTCTTGAAAAAAGAAGTCTCATGCCTCCTTTTCATCACTACCCACTCATTCTCTTCTCTTGACCCTTTGAAATAGAGTTTCTGCTCCCCCCCCACACACAACTAAAATTGTTCTCTCAAAGATCACCAGTGGACTTCCTAATTGCCAAATCTTATAGCTATTTTTTTTTCAGCCCTCACCTTCTGTGACTTCTGTTGCAGCTTCTGACATGGGTGATCACTCCTTTGACAATATCCTCTCTTCCTTTAGCTGAAGATACCATGCTTTCTTGGGTCTATTCCTATCTCACTAACCATTTCCTGTCTTCCTTGGCAATTTCATTGACTCCTACTTTCCCTGTACAGATGCCTCCAAGTCTGTATCTAAATTGTAACAGGGTAAGGTAGGGGTTGGCAGCCAAATCCTGCCCACTGCTTATTTAGCTCCTTCTTAGCTTCTTTTTATTGTTGTTCAGTTGTGTCTGAGTCTTTGTGACCCCATTTGGGGTTCTCTTGGCAAAAATATTGGAGTGGTTTGCCATTCACCTTTCTAGTTCATTTTACAAATGAGGAAACTGAGGCGAACAGGGTTGTCAAGTGACTTGCTCAGGGTCACACAGCTTGTAAGTGTCTGAGGCCAGATTTGAACTCAGGAAGATGAGTCTTCCTGACTCCAGACCAGGCACTCTATCCACTTCAGACACATAATTATTGAGATTCAGGGGCACCCCAAAATGTTGAGGTGCCTGGTATATGTGTGGTAGAGTTGTCTCAAAAGAATTCGCTCAGGCTGTCTCCAAATCAAGTAAAGGCATTTATTCCGGGTAACAGAACACACCAAGCAGGTTCCTCCACCCCTTAAGGGAGACACAGTTTAAAGGGAGTGGGGGGGGGGGGAAGCACAGCTCCTCAAGGGAGACTTCCACTTCTTAATAGAGACAGCAGCTCCTTAAAAGAGAGTGCAGAGCCCCTCTCCCCCACACCCAGGGAGACAGCCTGCTTCAGGGAGGTGGCTCCTTAGGGGAGTCTCCCACTAGCCAGGAGAAGCTAGGGATTTTTATACATGAAAACCTTCTGTGGGCTGGGAGATGAGGTAAGGAAGGACCTAGAGACCCTAGGCAAGAGGGTGGGGGTAGTTCACAGTTTTGAGGGTATTTAGGCACTTTATTACTCCATTGTTCAGTCCATTTGACCAGGGTGGGGGAGCCCCAGTTAGTTTGGTATTTCATTGACCAGCCTACTTGAATCTCATTATCTCCCAAAGTGGCTTTAAGTGGTACTTAAGATAATGGGTTTCTCATTTACCAGTCTATTTGAATCTCAGCAGCAGGCACTTAATAAATGTTTGTTAACTGACTGATAAAATGAGACCAATATTATTTTTTTTCATTTTTTTATTAATTTATTTACTTTTAGTTTTCAACATTCACTTCCTTAAGATTTTGAGTTTTAAATTTTCTCCCCCTCCCACTTCTTACCCCCCCCAAGATGGAGTACAATCTGATATAGGCTCTACATATACATTCATGCTAAGCATATTTTCCCATAAGTTATGATGTAAAGAACATTTAGAACTAATGGGAGGAACCACGAGAATGAAGCAATAAAACAACAAAGGAAAAGGAGAGCAAATAGTATGCTTCCATATACATTCAGACTCCATATTTCTTTCTCTGGGTGAGGATAGCAATTTCCATCATCAGTCTTTTGGAGTTGTCTTAGATTCTTGCATTGCTGTGAAGATCCATGTCTATCAAAGTCAGTCATCCCATAATGTGGCTGTTGCTGTGTATAGTGTTCTCCTGGTTCTGCTCATTTCACTCTTCGTCAGTTCATGTAAGTCTTCCCAAGTTTTTTTGAGGTCTGCCTGCTCATCACTTCTTATAGCACAATAGTATTCCATTACATTTATATACTACAACTTGTTTAGCCATTCCCCAATTGATGGGCATCACCTCAATTTCCAATTCTTTGCCACCACAAAAAGAGCTGCTATAAATATTTTTGTACATGTGGGTCCTTTTCCCATTTTTATGATCTCTTTGGGATACAGACCTAGGAGTGGGAATGAGACCATTATTAGATTATGCTTGAAGACATTGTCTTCATTTCAAGTCTGTCTCTGGCCTCAAAAATCATACCTACATACAAAAAAGCTAGAATGGAAGTTTGAGGAATTTTGTGATATAGCCAAGCTTGGTATATAGCCAAATGATTATTTTAGACTGAAAATAGATTTATTATACTCCTTTATTTAACTACATCTACATCAATATTTTGTCATTTTTATTTCTTGATACTCTAGATTTCCAAATATTTTTACTGCTAAGTTCCTTGAGAGTAGGTAGGAATTGTTCATTTATTGTTTTTTCATCCCTGTCACCTAGTGCTTTGTATGTCTTAAGTGTTTAATAACTGCTTGTTAATTGATTGATTCACTAATTCTCCCTAAGAATGATGTCAGAGGTCAAGACCAGGACTTGTATCATAATGCAATTAAGGGCAAGACTGTTTAGGAAGAGTATGTACATTGGTAGAATAAAAGGTTAGGGACATTTTAAAAAGTAGAATACCATGAAGAGAGACCTAAGGATGTTGTGAAGTATGGTTATTTATTATGAACTTTATTCTTCCTGGTGACCAAGTCACCAAGGAGACAGATTAATTACTTTGATGCATCATTAAGGTGATGCCTTGTTGAGGTCATAGATTAAATGGGTGGTTAATTAGCAAGGCTTTGCCCAGTACCTGCTGTGTGCAACACACTATATCAGATTATTGGAATTTGCAAAAGAAACACAAGACATAGTCCTTGTTCCCTTGAAAACTCACAATCTAATTACGGCTTTACAAATTATTTATTCAAGCAGCAACAAACATTTATTAAACCTGCCTTGCACCACACACTGTGCTGGATACTGGAAGAAATATAAATTCCATTAACTTCAACAAGCATTTTTTAAACACCTACTATAACATCTACTAGGGGCCATGGGAATGCAAAGAAAAAAACAAACAAATAAACAAAAGCAGCTCCTGCTTTAAGGAGTTTACACTCTGGCAAAGAGGATTCACAGACAAATAAATATAATGCAAATGTGAAAGAGAAATAAATAAACAAAGTATTATGGGTTCAGATCAAGGAGAGATCACTCTTCTCTCAGGGAGAGAAGGAAAGGCATGAAATGCCTAATCTTTCACCTGGGCCTCCAAGGATGGGTGGGATTTCAAAAGGTAGAGAGTCTAAAGAGTACAATGCAATGGAGTGTAGAGAGTGAGTGAGTCTTCTGGGATCCTTAGGTCACCGGTTCAATTCCAGCTTGAAAAAATTCCTCAGGAAACTCCATAAATATGAATTCCACAGAACTGTGTTGAACGGACCCACCATTTACTAATATAAAATTATTAAAGCAGTGGAATAAATGGTTAAATGTGAGTTTCATGGAATTGTATTGAATGAACTGGTCATTTATTAATGTAGAACTATTAAAGCAGTGTAATAAATGGTTGGTACAGTAAAGAACAAACATGCTTCTCAAAATACCTAATGCCCAAGTAACTCAAATACAAGAATAATTTGTCTTGATGTGTCTGCTACGTTACTTGAACTTGTCTGGATGATTTGAATGTTGCAGGTTACCAGCTGACCTCGGCTGAGTGTTATGATCTGCGGAGCAGCCGGGTTGTAGCAGATCAGTACTGCCACTATTACCCAGAGAACGTCAAACCCAAACCAAAGCTTCAAGAGTGTAACTTGGACCCCTGTCCTGCCAGGTCAGTCCACTCTGATAAGTGGTTTAAAGTAAGTGGAAATCCAGTTGTAATAATTATCTTAAAAGAAAAAGACAGCCCATGATTCAAAATGTTTTCGTGTGCACTAAACCTGCAAGTGGAATGTCCACACTGAACCTTGTAGCAGGAGTATCTGAGGGTCATTTCCAGACTGGTACTCAGTGCAATCTGATAATCCACAGGGAAAGGGATCTCAGTAGATTTTTGTTGACATTATATATTTCACTTTGGTTTCTTTATTCATCTGCCTCATATGACACTTAATAATGAATGACTCTTAGACTATTCCTGGTACAGTGTTCTCAGAAACATCCAGACCATAGCTTTTTCTCATCTTGGTCAGCATGATGAGAAAAGACCTAGTTTCTGGCCCTTGGCCAAGCACACACCCCACACATAAATATACTTCCCTGACAGATCTAACCAAGAGATAGACTCAAAACAATTCTTAGAATAGCCAAAGGACCAGAGATTTAGAGTCAGAAAGGACCTCAAAGGACGTCTAAGTCCAACCCCTCATTTTACAGATAAGGAAACTGAGCCTCACAGAAATTAAGGTTTTGCTACACGTGAACAGATTCAGGCTTAGACAATGACTGAAAAATTGCCAAGTTTTTAATTCAGTGGATTCAAGGATGACATCTGCATTCATGGTTTCCTTTTTCTAACCATAATTTTGCTACCTCCTTCTAACTTGTTTGGAAGACAAAGAGCAAGCCTGGTGAATGAAATGCCACTAGGAATGAGTGGTCATCTTCCTAAGGGTAGAGAGAATAATTTTCTTGAAAGTGGCATTTGAAATTGAACCCCTTCCTGTTGTTTCTTTGCCAGAATTTAAGTTAATTATTCTCAGCTTCTGAGAAAGAATGTTAAAAACCAACAACCTTCTCAACCCTACAATTCGAGTCATGAACTCATATAGTGGGGTTGAATAAATGGACTTCTCAAATCTCAGGGGTATAAAAAAGGTGCTATTTTTTCCTGTGCTACTTTTTTTTTAAAGACATAAGCTACCAATCACTTAACATATAAAAAATGATACTTTGAACTATTAAAAAAAAAGTTGCAGGATTGATGTGAATACAAAATAGTTCTATCTTTAGAAATGTTCTTTTGGACCCAACATAACTTATTTCTTAGGTTTCCTCCACCATTTGAAATAGTAAATTCTACATATGATCTAATGCCTCAGTTTCTGTCATTAATCATGCCACCTAAGTAAAACATCATAATGAACTCAGAAGAAAATATTTTCATTAACTAAAACTCCAAAGAACTGATATTTGACAACCACAAGAGTAAAGGTGGTTGGAAGTTTATTTTCATATATTACATCAGAAAATTTAAAAAAACGGGTCCACTTGAAGAAATGAATATGGTGTGAAAAATTGGATAGAGTGTGAAAATTATGTTCTAGCTGTTTTATTTGGGAAATCTTGACATTCAGAAATTTTATTATCCAAGATATTTGAGTAAGAAGAATCTTTATCATCCATATACAACCTCATTGCAAAAGTACTTCCCCTTAAACTCACAGCTGCAACAAGAAGACTAATGATGAGGCGTATAGGAGCTTTTGGTTCAGATAGATAGGTCAGTCTGACAGGAGACAAGCATTACACAGTTAGCCCTGAAATTCTGAAATAGTTCAAACTCCCAAAGAATTTGACATGCTTTTCTGGGAGATCCATTTCTCCCAACTAAGAAGAAATAGCAAAGACCAAATGGTCACAGAGGGATAGTTTCAACATTAAAGGATTTTATGATAATTACACTTTAAGAAAATAAATACAATCAGAAAAAAATAACATTCATTTTTTCTGGCCATTGATTCTTATATGCTCTTCTCTGTTGGAGTAGAATTTTTGGCCTATTCCTTATTATCCAAAAGCAAAGCAATTCTGCATTGAAAGAAGCTTACATGTGAAATTTATGCCCTTTCTATTTCCCATGTTATTTTTTAAAATCTGCCACCACACATGTATAAATGTTAGGACAGGTGGTGGTGCAAAAAAAAAAAGTAAGGGAGGAAAAACAACTTAGAGACAGATGTCAGGAAGCAGGGTTTTTTTTTTTTAATTCAAGAAATAATTAGGCAAAGCTGTAAAAATTAAGAGCTGTACTAGAGGGAGAAAATAATTGAGAAGGGAGCCATTCTGTTCTGAGATCAAGCATTGCCTTCAGGTAATACTATGAAATTCATCAAATTCTATTCTATAGTAAAGGTTAAGATCATTATCTGGGACAGACTCCATCCAGTGATCTCAGTAACAGTCCATACCCCTTCCTGTCACATATTATTGCAGACTCAAACCCTTCCTAGGTTGCCTTCTAGCTAATAAAGCAATCAGGGGAAAGGAGCACAAAAAGATGTGTCTAGGTGGCCAGTCAAAAGATTCACAAAAGTAAAATGTTGGGATTGTCAGTTCTAATAAAAATCATATATTTCTGAATTTTTTAAGTTTCCATGTATCATTTGAGAGATCACCAAGAGAGCAAGGAAAAGAGGTACTTTTTGTTGAAAAACATACTTAAAGTTCTTAGTTCAAGCCCTACCTTTGCAGGTTACTACCTTTGTGATCAAGGCCTCAGTTTTCTTATCAATAAAAGGAGAAAAGTGGTCCCTTTTCAGCCCAAAATTCTATGACTGTAAATATTGCAAATTCTTTACTTTTATCCTCATAGTATCCTTAGCACCATGAACAGATAAATAACTTCTACCGAGCCTCCATATTTAATGTCTAACTGAGGCATAAGGAAGGCAGAATGGTATAATGGAAAGAATCTTGGACTTGGAGTCAGTTCTAATCTGTTCTGTTGATTTTACTATCTGTATGACCTCCTGCAAGTAGCCTCTTGCAGCCTCAGTTTCCTTTTCTGTAAAATGAGGAAATCAGACCAGATGACCGCTGAAGTTGATCCAAGCTGTAGATCCTATGAACCTGTGGTTTCCCCTGGAGCACTTACTAGTGATGTTGTCGGTCTTTTTTTACCGTATGTTCCCTTTTCCTTTGGTGCTCTCCCCTGTTCCTTTGATGTTTTTTTTTTCTCACTGTATTTTTTGGCATGTCTTTTTTTTTTTTTCTTTCTCCCCTGCCTTATGTCCATCAGTGACATCCGTGGTTATAGTGTAGGCCTACCAGTAGCCCTTTTGACTAGGGAAGTTGCCAACATCCTAGTCAGATCCAAAGTGGTCTTTTTTTCTGGACTGAATTTTTGCTTAGAAAGCTTTGCTCTGTAACAGCAGTAACATACCAAAACATGGCCCCATCTTACATGTTGTTTGTCAGACTTCACAGTCCACCATCTAAACTGTGACCAGGGAATGCCATCATCACCTGACGAAGGGATTAGCACTGAAATGGAAGTTTAGCACCAAGCTCCTGTGGGTCTTCACAGTGATCAGTACCACCTCTCCCCATCAGATGTTCTTCTGGGTGAACATCTGTTCACATCTATTTTCTGATGATTCCTGAACATAACTAGAACTTCCCCCAAACGTGTATTTTGCCCATGCTTTTAGTTTAGCTAACTGGTGACTTGCTTAAATTCCATTTGAGATGCTGCATAGGAAACAGTGGGACAAGATTGGTCTTCTAGGAATTATGAACATCACCTTCTGCACTGACCTTAGTCTCAAATACTTTTTAGGACAACTGCACTAGACAGCAGTTTTCCAAGGTTTATGAGACAGGCTATGAGAATAACAGAGCAGTCACCCTTTTTCCCTTCTTTGGCATGAGATCCTCATTCTGAATCCAAGTCAAGGAAGGGGGGATTAAATTGGTAATTGTTGGACAAGTGAAAAAAGCTCTCACTCATCACACTATCATCCTCATCATCACTAGCAAACAACTCTGTTTCTAACAGCAAACTGTATCCAGATTTCCCCTTTCCTCAGGAATTTAAAAAGAAGCAGACATAGACTAATACCCAAACTTGCATGCCCTGGATGGCTGTACACTATGATTCCAAATGGTCTCACTGGCCTTTTTGTGCTGACATGCCTCATTTAGTTTTCCTCTAAATTACATTAATTATTCCTAGCAAGGCACACAATAGAGACATGGGTAACAAAGTGGACTCCAAGAGTGATATTTTTTAAAAACATTTTCTTATAATGAGTATTATATCATAGAACCCTGGAAACATCACTAACCAGGAGTCAGGTTCTGATCTCAGATCTGCCATTAGTTGTGTGCCTTGGATGGGTCATTTCATTTCTCTGGGCCTCCATTTCCTCATCTGTAAATTAAGAGGATTGGATTAGAAGATCTCTGATCTTTAAGCTTCAGTAATTTATCATTGCAGTTACCTGTATTAGTCCTTTGGACAGCAAAAGACAAAGAAGTCTTGCAAACTGTGTTCCAGTGAGTCATATCTGTGAGACTTTGAAAAATAAACAAATCAGTTGACTATATCGTAAGGATCCCAGTATCTCAAGTCCACAACCAATAGATACTCCCACTCCAGGCTCTATTTGTTAGGCTACAGAATCCATCAGTATTTACTTATCAATAGTAAAAAGTAAAAAATAATAATTTGTGTAATGAACTCCTCTAACTCTCATGCCTAAAGGAGGTCAGTGACTTGATATAATGAGTAGATTATACCCAAGATGAACAGAAGTCAAGAAATATTTTACCTCTTTTTGATTCATTCCTAATTGACACTGAATTCAGAAATCATCACCTCCCTTCCCTTGAGATCATCTTTGCCAGTTTGTAGTTAAAGAGACTATATTTGATTAAGAATGGATAGGAAGCAACCATATGGGCGGTTCTCATATAATTTTTTTTTAACTACACCAGAATTCTGGCACATCTCATTTGTTTGTACAAGGTACATATAAACATAAATTGTCACTAGTCTATTGGCAAGAAACCAAGATACATAGACTCCCAAAGCTAGAAGGTGACATAGTGAATTAAAATGTGGGACTTGGAGCCAAGAAGACCTGAACTTGAATCCTTTCTCAGAAT